TGTAGCAAAAAGAAGCAGGAATGAGCAAAAGGGAAGCGAGGATATGAGCAAAATAAGGAGAATAGAAGGAGAATGTCGCAAAAGGAAGCAGGAACAGCAAAATTAAGGAGAATAGAAGGAGGAATGTAGCAAAAGGAAGCAGGAATGAGCAAAATAATGAGCAAAAGAAGGAGAATAGAAGGAGAATATACAAAAGGAAGCAGGAATGAGCAAAAGAAGGAGAATAGGAGGAGATAGAAGTGAGAATAGAAGTGAGAATTAGAAGGAGAGGAATAGAATTAGGGCGCCGTAGCCCGTCCAGGAGGAGAATGAAGGAGAAAGGGAATAGAAGGGAATAGAAGGGAAATAGAAGGAGAATAGAAAGGTGAATAGAAGGAGAATAGAGGAGAAAGTCGGGAATTGGAAGTAAGGAGAATAGAAGGGAGTATAGAAGGAGACTAGAGGAGTAGAAGGAGAATAGAAGGAGAATAGAAGGAGAATCGAAGGAGAATAGAAGGAGAATAGAAGGAGAATAAAAGGAGAATATGAAGGTATTTCGTGCGGCGTATTTACCGTCCGTTTAAGGCGGTGTTACCCTGTTTTTGGCGGTGTTACCCTGTTCTTGGCGTGGTTACCTCACCACCGGGGCTGTCCAACATCCCAATCTTCAGCTTGCACTTTGGGGGGTACCTTCTCCATGGCAATCCCCAAACCGCCAATCCAAACCTCCAACGGGAAGCTGAAATGTCGCAAGAGTGACTTTCGCGAGCAAAACCCGCTTCGACCACGGCAGGATCAGATCGTTTCTCAAAGTCTGGGAAAAAACACATGGCTTGTGGGTGTCCCTTTCCCAAAAGGGGGTCGACCATTCAGTTCGAAGACATGCAACCGACAAAAGGGAAACCTGAGCAACAGAGCTCTCTCGACGATTTTTACCGAGTGCTTCTCAATGTTTCCCCCAAAAAATGGTTGTTTTCCTTTTCATTCCCAACTTCAAAAATACGCAGCAAATGGTGGCAACAGAGCAAAATGGAATTCCAGCGGTGCCTGGTTACACTAGGTCCTCCAGATTTGAGAGGTTAGAATAAGTTAGTACATTTTTATTTCTATTTTTCGGTTTTGTCTATTTTCGACACGGGGAACCCTCCCTTCCCCAAAAAAGAAACGGTGACAAAGCTGGCACCTAGCCGTTTTTGGGTACCCACTTTTTTCAGGACGTCTATTTTAGACACGGGGAACCCTCCCCCAAGAAAAGCTGGCAGAGATGTTTTTTCACCGATCGCAGGGGGAGCGACGGGAAGTCGTGTGTCATCTGGTGGCCGGAAGGGTCGAAACGAGTGGGCTGGCCTCTTCTTGTCCTTCTCCTGAGGAAGGATCCATGCTCATTGGGAGGAACTTATCCTTGCTGGGCTGTCCCCAGATGCCCTGCAAAAAGTTTGACTTGGTTAAATGGAAATCCCCACGAAACGCTAAAAGGCTAAAAGGCGCATTGGGATGAACTTAGCCTTGGACTACTCAGTTGTTCCTACCCTACACCCTTGATCACCCTTGGACCCATGGTGGTGTCCCCATATTTTGGTGTGGAAAAAGCAGCATGTTTCAAATCTCAGTTGTTCAGTGACCCTGCAACAAAAAAGGGAACCCTTTTTGGGGCTTGGACCATTTTAGTGGGGCAGCCACCAAAAAAAAGGGGAAGAATAATTGGTGCCACTGAACAACTGAGACCAGTTCTGGGAAAAGTCTACTTCCATGCGCCTTTCTGGTTCGATCTCGGCTGATCAAAAAACAACATCGATTCGCCTGTGCCGGCCTCTGTTTTCCCAGCCTTAAGGCACGGCATGCCGTTTCAGACAGGCTGCGGGATGTTTGTTCCACATGTGGTGCCACCGAAGCTAGGTCCTCCAGTAGAATTGGAATAAGGGGCCAACATGTCCTCCGAATGTTTCAAGGACAATTGAACCAGGAACCCAACTTTCGTCAGAGTGGCTTCCCGTGGATGGAATAAGCTAAAGTGGGATCGTTGGATCCCAGGTCTTTTTGCTTGCCCTTGCACTTTACCCCCGCAACCTCCAAATACCCTCTTGTTTTTCAGGGTTCAGGGTTTAGGGTTTAGTATCATGTCGATCCTCTACCAAAAAAAAAGTACTTACCATGGAAAACAAACCAGGTTCTCCCAAAGATACCAAGTGAAAGAAGCAGGTATTTTGAGTCGGGGTACTTATTCTGATGGACCTAAGTGCGGGATCCACGACGCACTTCCGATCGAGTGGATCGGAAAACCACATCTATTTTTTGCCACTCAAATGGCGTACCCAAACCCAAAAGGTGACATGTTTTAGTCGACCTCAGGAAGTGAAACCCGACTTAACATGAGTCACAATCAAAACCCGGTATTAAACTGGTCTACCCAGAACCACGTAAAGACTTTAGAAGGCAGATTCCCGCAGCTATTTCTGGTTGGGATCGTCCCTTACTAACCTTCCATCTACCCGGGTTTTGATCGTGACTCAAATGGCGTACCCAAACCCAAAAGGCGACAATTTAGCCCACCTCAGGAAGTGAAACTTTAGGGGTACCTTCCCCATTCTTTCCAGGGATCCTTCTTTCCATAAAACCTGCGGAAACCCAGGGAAAACGGATCAAGTTTTTGGAAAGAACGATGGTTGAAAAGAATGGAAAAGGAATCAACCCCTAGAGAAACCCAACTTAACATGAGAGAAACCAACTTTTCGCTCCGACGACCTCGCCTTGGATCTGGACTTCTCCTTGCGCTTGTCCTTAGACCTCGCGGCCGGGAACATGTTCATGGGCCGTGTTTTCAGGGATCCTTTGGTCCCAAAGTTCCCTGCTGAAAAGTTGGATTTTTGGCCAGCCCCAACATGGTTGGCACTTTGCTATGGCTAGTTTGGGGCTCCAGGCGTGTTGGTCCCCCTTTTTAGTCTTGAAGGGAAACCAAAAACTATTTTGCTAGAACCTGATTTTTTTTTGCCAGCCCCAACATGGTTGGTGAATTCCCACTTTTCCTATGTTCAAGATGTTTTCTTTGAGAGCTGGTCCCTATGTAATCTTAACCCCGGATTAATAACCCCCTGGTTGATTAATCCGGGGTTCATCCCCTTTTAGTGGGGAGGGAACATCCCCCACTTTTGGACGGGTTTGTTAATCCTGGGTCAACATTGTGTCCATTGAGGCCGTTCAAGATGAGACACATCAAGGATCCCAAAGCGTCGAGAGATACAGCTACCTGCCAAGCCAAAGGTGTCATTGAACACAAGGTCCGCATGTTCGTTGTGATTTCCGTGATATGACTGCCGCACAAAAAGAGGGACCCCGCAAATCAAGAGTGGTGGCACGTACGGAGGTGTACGATATCTTGCTGGTATACATTAAAGAGACATATATATATATATATGCCGATATATAAATATATATATACATATATATATGTATATGTATATGTATATATATATATATGTGTATATATATATATATGTAAATCTACGTAAATATGGCTTCCCAGTTGCTTCTTTATGTGTTTCTTTCATTTGGGGTGCACCATGAGGCGCGGTACATTTGCCCCTTGAAGGCGGTGATGCACGGCTGTCACCTTCTCTCGGGCCATGGCTCGGTCTCAAAGCATCGGACATTCAAAGGAGAACCGCCCCTCAGTTACAGTTGTTCAGAGACCCAGGAAAAAAAAGGGAACCCTTTCGGCTCGCGGCGCCTCGGTCAAACGGCGCAGGTGAGGGCATGCCGCCCCACCGGTTAAAAGGGAACCCTTTTTTGGGGCTTGGACCATTTTTAGTGGCCACCAAAAAAAAAGGAAAAAACTAATTAGTGCCACTCAACTACTGAGACCCAGGCAGACCCGCTTTTGGTTGTGAAGGGAAATTGAAAGGAGAACCACTCTGAGGGGTCTCCCCTTGTGAGAAACACCCACATTTCTGTCTTGGACACCCACATTCCCTTTTTGCTTTGGACAGAGGACACCCACCTACCTAGAAACTGAAGGGAAACTAAAAGGACCACCCACCACCTGGAGAGGTCCCGAATTTTGCATTGTGCATTGGAGGGAGCTCACGCATCGCCCAAGTCAAGTCCTATCTCGGGACGCAGTACCTTGATAGTGACCATGATATTGCCTCCGCAAACTTGACTTCTGCACATGTCCGGAAGAGACATGTCTTGCTGTCAACGTTCACTCTCGCGATGGAATTTGGAACGGTCCAGGTATTTGTGTATGTATATATATATATGTGTATATCTATATGTATAATACACATTATTGTTCCCAGATCCCCTGCGAACAGCCTAACTGTTTGTGGTTTAGTGGGAAACTTTCCACTAAGCCCGACCAGAAACCAACAAAAACAAGGCGCTGGCCGGGAACCGCCAAGTATATTTTCCATGTCCTCCAGTGGAGAGCTTAGAAGAAGGCTACCCCCTGCTCCAAATACCCGGCCTTTTTCCAGGGTATCCTGTCGACCCTCTACTAAGAAAGGAGGTATTTACCATGAAAAACCAGGTTTTCCCAAACATACGCAGAAAAAAACGGGTATTTTGAGTAGGGGGTACCCACTTTTGTCTGTAGTCTATTTTAGTAGGGGAACCCTTCCAACCAAAAAAGGGGAGAGAAAGGTTAGCCCGGTAGTTTGCCATTTACCCTCTACAAGAACCAGGGGGTGAAATCCAACAAACCTCCAAACCACCAAACCGCCAACTGAGGGTTCCCTGACCATTTGCAAAAAAAAAACAAGCGTGGGTTAAAAGACCGGAAAATGAAGATCATCTTCGAAATGCAAAGGTTCAAGAGTGGCCAACCTCCCTGTGAACTCCTGGACAAGGGCGTCTCACAAGACTTTTTGGCAGCAACTGGCGTGAATGAACTCAAACTGGGGGCTCTTTGAAAACATCGATGTTCACGGGGAACTTCTGTCCATCCGTCGAGTTGAGGCCTGGATCTTGACCTTGACTTGTCCTTTTTCTTCTCTTTGGACTTGTCCTTGTCTCTGGAGCGTGATCTCTCCCTATCCTGGCACAGCACATGAATGGTGCCGGGAGCGGTGGGACCGCTGGTTGAATGCCATAGTGATCAAGACATGGATGTGTCACCCAAGCCAAGCCTTAGTCTTGTCCTTCTCCTTCTTCTCTTTGCCCTTGTCCTTCTCTTTCTCCTTCTCTTTCTCGTTCTCTTTCTCCTTCTCTTTCTCCTTCTGCTTCTCCTTGTCCTTGTCCTTATGCTTATCCTTTTCCTTTTCCTTCTCTTTCTCCTTCTCCTTCTCCTTTTTCTTCTTTTCTTTATCTGTTTTGCGGTCCTGTTCTTCTTCCTTTGAGCTGTCCGAATCCTTATCTTTGTCCTTTCCCTTGTCTTTGTCCTTCTGTTTCTCCTTATCCTTCTTCTTGTCCTTCTCCTTCTGCTTCTCCTTCTCCTTTTCCTTCTCCTTTTCCTTCGCCTTCTCCTTCTTCTTCTCGCTCTCTTTCTCTTTTTCAGCCTTGGCTTCCTTCTCCTTCTTCTCCTTTTTCTCCTTCTTCTCCTTCTTCTCCTTCTTTTCCTTCTCCTCCTCCTTCTCTTGGCTCTTCTCGACCTGAGCCTCTGGCTGCCCCATTTCCACGTCGGGCACAGCTTCTGCAGGCGGCGCCGGCTCCGCGGGTGGCTCCGGCGCTGGGGGCGCCGGCTCCGGCGCAGGCGGCGCGGGCTCCGGCGCGGGCGGCGTAGGCTCCGCGGGCGCCGCATCTGGCTGAGCCTTGTCCTGCCGGACGCTTCGAGTCGACATTTCGTCTGTCCTGTGGTGGACATAAAAAAAAGTCCCACCTAAATGGCCGTGTCTTCTTTAAAGGGACCCAGAAAATGGTCTATTTGTTTGGCTTTCTGAAGAATACAACACATAAAGACAAACAAAAAAGAAGAAGGGTAGCCTCGGAAAAGGACACATCCTTAAATGATGAGCACCAAAGGGTCCATCTTGCATTTTATGTGGGTTGTTTGGGGCCTGACGAAAGTTGATCAAAGGACATAGTTTACTCCCAGGTTTGGGGTTGAGCTTTTGTCAGGTCAACATGCGGCGCCTCGAGTCGCTTGGCTTCCCGTCCAAACCCCCCACCCCCCCGCCCCCCCCGCCCCCCCACGCGCCCCTCATCTTTGGGTGTCACAAAACCGAGGGCACGGCTCTCTGGTGGTCTTCGGATGCATGAATCAACGATAAATTTTGCGCAGATCGGGTACCAAGGGTCTATAGCACTTTTCAGGAGCACGCCTTCTGTCTGGCCATCATTGAAACCACGCCACCATTAAACCGGCTCAATACCCAAGATTTGGGCGTCTGCAAATGCACAGGGAACCCGTGCCCCGATTTAAGACAAAGCCGCCATTGTAGAGGATTCACAGAGAAGAACGCAGCTGTCCATCCCCATCTTTCAACCTGACCAGACATCTCTTGATCACTTGGCTGTGGCTCAAAACACCGGCGCCAACATGGAACCCCGGTAAGTGGAAACATGGACCAAAACCTGCGTAACCCCTCCTGGTTAATTTTGAGCCACACCCACTTGAGGAAGCTAGTTCCAGCATACCAGATCCAGCATACCGGACACTCGAGCAACTGATCATCAATGGTAGCTCACTACCAATCTCGGATGGCAGCTCCAGCAATACGAGATCAGGCGCAAACTCGAAAACTTGTCAATAGCAACGCTACTCAATCCGGAAAAAAATCCGGAGAAAAAACAACATCTACGTGGCAGGTCTTGCTTCCTTTGCGGACATGATTCGGAATCCAGCTCTGCTGGTGTCTCCTTCTGTGAGCCTCAGTTGTTCAGTGACCCAAGGGAACCCTTTTGGGGCTTGGACCATGGCTGTGGCTCAAAACACCGGAATTCCAACATGGCTTGCCCCGGCAAGTGGAATGGACCAAAACCTGCGGTTTGCTCCTCCTGGTTAATTTTGAGCCACACCCTTTTTCGTGGGGCAAAAAAAAGAAAAACAGGGAGAAAAATGGGTGCGACTGAACAACTGAGGGGAACCTTCACAATGGTCGTGAACAAAAATCCATGAGGAGTTGATGGCCATCCATACAATGTTCAAGCTAAAACGACATGCTTTCACATGGGCCTGCCTCCAAGTGGAACCTTCAAATTGCGAAGGTTCGCCTTTCCATGCCAAGAAAATACCAACAACAAAAAGGACATGCAAACCAGAAACCTTGCAGGGCAAAACCCTGGCAAGTCCAAGAGCCATGGAACCCAGGCACGGGCATGGAGCCAAACAACAAAACAAACACCGGCCAAGAAGAAAAGACAAAAGAAGGACATGCCAAGAAAAAAAAGCAGGAAAACACACACACACACAAAAACAAAACAAACTAAACCAAAAAAAAAAGGACATGCCAACAGATAAAAGTGAGCATGGAACCCAGGCGCAAAACCGCTGCATTTTCTTCAACGTCTGCCCGCGATCCTCGGAGGCTTCATTGGCCTCCCGGCTGCTGTCCTGACTCGGGGACTCAGGACTCCCGTTGGCTGTCCGTTTTCTGAGCGTGGGTTGAGATTTGAAAACCCAACCACTAAAACCAACTAAAAACACACTTACAAACCTTGGTTGCAGTTGACCCCCCTGCAAAAAGTCCAACTTGTTTTTGGGGGAGGTTAGTGGAAAACACCTTGATTTCCCAAAAAGTTAAAGTCTAGAGATCCAACCCAATAGCAGTCAAACCGAAGGAACCGGACGACTGGGAACCAAAAAAAACCCGATGCGTTGCTTTCATGGCTCGAGCTCACTTGAAACAGATTTGGCTATGGGTCAAAACCCAAATCGTACCCCCAGAGAACATCCGATTCATTTCCCACTGAAATAGACTAACATGGGTGGTGCACCTAGCCCAAAATGGGATCCCATTGGTTTTGACCCACGGCCATTTCAGGAACTCAGTGCAACCGGAAACCCGGAGCAAACGCTTCGGTGTTTACAGGAAGGAACTGGCAAAACCACGGGTGAAACAAAGCTTTGTTTCTCGGTTTGGTGTTTTCGGATCACCGCCCTTGGCGCAGTGTCCCTTCTTTTTTTTGGCCAGACGGTCCAGGCCATAGAACGGTTTGGGATTGGAATGGATGGAAGCCAGTGCCGGACAGGCTTCCTGAGCATCCTTTTCAGCTTGGTCTCATAGGGCAAATAAAAGGACACATCCCCATTGAGTGGGTCCCTACTTCAGGATATACCCATTCTTCACTGTTTGCACGTGTTGGAGGCTTCTATTCGTGGGTTGCAAAACACGTGGCGTGTTTCGCCAACTCTGCGAACAAAAAAGGCCGGGCCCAATGTGGCACCGGCCTTTCACCGACAAAAATAAACCTGAACCCTCAACATTCCAACTTAAACATGGCGGTTCCTTATTATTTGGCTACGTCATGCTGGCTCGCCGGGGGCGACGACGTCTTCTGCTGCTGCTGCTGCTGCTGCTGCTGCTGCTGCTGAACTCCCTTTTTTGGGGTAGCTCTTTCGGGTCCAGGAGCGCGTAATCATAGGTTACCTGGGGATTGTCTCGGAGTATACTCCTCGATACTCGCAGCCAACCACACGGTCGATGAGCTGGGGAATTGGCCAGACATGTGTTCAGGTTTTCCGCCCATCGGTAGTTTGGTGGCGTGGTTTCCCATTTGGCTGTGGCTCAAAAAGCCGGTAACCAAAATGGGTTGCCCTTGTAAGTGGAATGGACCAAAACCTACGTAACCCCTCCGGTTTAATTTTGAGCCACACCCATTTACCCGCCAGGGGTTCTTCTCCCCACCAATCCAAACCCACTAAGAGGTACCTGAGTCAGAATCAAAACCCGGCATTAAAACGATCTACCCAGAACCATGTAAAGGATTAAGAAGGCGGCCGCAACCATTTCTGGTTGGGAGTGCCCCTTGCTAACCTTCATCTACCCGGGTTTTGAGGACGTGGCTCACCTGAAGATTTGGTCGAGAAATCCAGCACACGGTCTTGGAGGAGGGAGCTTAGAGTTGCAGGGAGTCGCTATGACAATCTGAATCAGCAGCCCTCGTCAAAATCGCGCTTCCCGAGTAGCCACAAAACGTCTCAACTTTTGATTTTGCACCAAAACGTGTCCAAACCCAAAAAGTCACTAGGTCCTCCAGTAGAGAGGTTAGAATACCAACTTTTTCTCTGTAGTCTATTTTAGTAGGGGAACCCTCCCCCAAAAAAGGGTAAAAGGTAGACCTAGGTGACTAAAGTAACTAGGAACTCAGGAAGGGCAAGCCCCGCCAAAGCCCAACTCGGACTCCTTCTCCGTACCGCTGGCCTGCGCGAGAAGGGTGGCTCGTCTTGTCAGGCCCCCGAAAATTGGCGATGTCCGGCTTTCCGCGCTAAGACAACAACAATAAGCCCAGGTGGTATCCCCAACTAAGGTCCTCCAGTAGAGAGGTTAGAACAAGTTGGTACCCGATTTTTTTTCTGTAGTCTATTTTAGTAGAGGAACCCTACCCCCAAAAAAGGGGCAACAGTGCACAAGGGCACTACCGGACCCCCCCTTCTGAACCCTTCCGGAAAGCTGCCCCAAACCACCCCCGGTTGGCTTCCCCAAAGCAAAGCAACAAAAGGAGGTACCAACTCAAAAATGGGGGGGGGGGGAGAGGGAAATATTTTTTTTTTGTGGGGATGAACAGCAAAGCCAAGCCTTTGCTACCTCATTGCTATGTTTATTATTATTATTAGTAGTATTATTATTATTATTTATTATTATGATTTTATGTTTGCTTTCTGGCGTGAGAAGATGCTCTCTGCACGCCAGCAAGAATGACCTCTCAGCTTCCGGGGGGTTCACATCCAAACCACCAATCCTTGTTTGACGTTGGAAGGGGAGCAAACATTTAAGTTTTAGCAGCTAAGCGGAGATTTCCCACTAAACCAGAATAAGCAAAAAGTCAAAATGCTTCCCAACAACAACCATGAATCCGAGCCACCTGAGGAACCTGAAATCAGATGGTCCCGTCAGATCCGTCAGATCCGTGCAGATCTGTGCAGATTGCCATTGGTTCCCACCTGGATCGCCAGTTGCTGTTGTTTTTTCCCCATGCACTTTACCCCCCCAAAACCAGCAACAGAACGCAACTTGGCGATCTAGGCAGAGAGCAAAGATCCGCGGAAATCCACTCAAAGTTCACTCGGAGACTCGCAGCCCACGTGGCACGTGTGTCGAACTAGGGAGGTTCCCGGCATCGGCGTTCCCTTTTGGTTTCCCGGTAGAAAAAACAGGAACCAAACTGATGGCAAGAAATGAACCCAAAGAAAGGGACCAAAGGAACCAACAAAAAGAAGGAACCAACAAAAGGAATCAACAAAAAAGAACCACAAGATCTTGGCCAACCCCGCAAAGAAAATGTCGACGGTAGGCGCCTGCCTCCTTCTCGGCTTTGCGGCTCTTGCCCTTGGGCTTTTGGTTCGCCTCTTGGGCCTCGATATGTTTTTTCTGCGACGGGCCGCGAGTCTCGGGGGGAGAGGTTGCCAGGGAAAATGAGTTTATAGGAATGGGGAAAGCTTGGTTGACCTTGGGTTTGGGGGGCAAACATTCTCAATTTTTAGCAGTTCAGTGGATTTGGATTTCAACCACTAAATCACAACAAGCAAAAATGTAACATGGTTCCCAACAACCATGAAGAAAGGGGAAGAAGGGTTGGGTTGGGTCTTCCCGCTTTTATGGAGGGGGAGAGGGGTTGCTGGAAGTGGAGTCTTCCCAGGGAAAATGAGTTGCCAGGAGATGGAGATCCCCCCCCTTTTTCCGAGGGGTTGGTGGGGGAGGTTGGTGGGGAACAGCTCCTGAGATCTAAATTAGATCTCATATTTAATAGTCTCAGGGAAAATGGGTGAACATACATGGAGACTTTTGTAGGTTTGATCCCCCCTCCCCCTTATTCCTGCCTGGAGAAAGGGGGCGAACATGTCCAACGTCTTTGGACGGCCACGAAAAATCCAGAAAATGACTCACGCATTTGCGGCCTTGGGAGAGAAACGGGAACCTTCACGGTTCACCATTCGAAACCCTGTGCCCGAAAAACCGGGCAAACAACCCCGAAGGAGAACTCCCTCGAAAAAGACACGCTGGAATTCCATGCCGCGATCTTCCACGAATTTTGGGAGTCAAATGAACGAGAGGCGTTGCAGCAAAAGCAACTTTGACAACACCACCACTTTCGACTTGGGCTGATCGAGTGTCACTTCGGCCCGAAGGGCCAGGCTGAGAGGGGGGCCCCTCAAAAGGAAAATGGTCTTCCGAGATCCCCCAACACAGGTTCCATGTTAATTTATAAGAGGGTAATGGTATCATGATAGAGCAGCACTACTCCTTGCCGACTTGCCAGTGAGCTTTGTAAGTGCGGGCAAAGGAAAGCTGGATTGCTTTGTAGTTCCTGCCATGGGACAGCCTGCTGATGCGTTGGCATGCCCAGGTCTCTTTGCAAAAAGCACATCAACCACATCCACATCAACCGCAACCTGAGCCTCTAACCCCAAACCTGCGAATCTGCTGGGGCAGGTCTTCAGAAGCAAGTCGTCCGGAACAATCTGGTCCACATTTTTGAGCAAACACCCCAAGTCTCTTGGAGACAAATGTCGTCTCTGTGCAATCTCTCGGAGTATATATATATATATATTTGTTTATCTGAGCATTTTGTTTGCCGAGCAATCTCTCTGGGCAATTTCTATGCCCAATCTCTCAGAGCAATCTCTCTTCGCAGTTTCTCTGAACAATCTTTCTAAGCAACTTCTTTGAGCAATCTTTTTGCAGACGATCTCTTGCTGTGGCAATCTCTCAGGTAAATTTTACCCACAGATCGCCTCCAAAATGATTGAATGGTTGAATGGCTAAGTGGGCTGAAAGCCGACCCAACAATAGCTGGCCGGCTGACTGCATGGCCACAAAAACGAACTCACAATGGGCCATTGCTTTATCATCAACCATGGGCTAATTACTTAATTGCCCGCCTGACTGTCTAGTCCCGTTCTACGCCCAATGTCTACAGCAACAAAATTCTCAACCATGGGCTTATTACTTAATTGCCCCCTGACTGTCTAGTCCCGTTCTACGCCCAATGTCTATAGCAACAAAATTCTCAACCATGGGCTTATTACTTAATTGCCCCCTGACTGTCTAGTCCCGTTCTACGCCCAATGTCTATAGAATCAAAATTTTCAACCATGGGCTTATTACTCTTTGCCCCCTGACTGTCTAGTCCCGTTCTACGCCCAATGTCTATAGCAACAAAATTCTCAACCATGGGCTTATTACTTAATTGCCCCCTGACTGTCTAGTCCCGTTCTACGCCCAATGTCTATAGAATCAAAATTTTCAACCATGGGCTTATTACTCTTTGCCCCCTGACTGTCTAGTCCCGTTCTACGCCCAATGTCTATAGCAACAAAATTCTCAACCATGGGCTTATTACTTAATTGCCCCCTGACTGTCTAGTCCCGTTCTACGCCCAATGTCTATAGAATCAAAATTTTCAACCATGGGCTTATTACTCTTTGCCCCCTGACTGTCTAGTCCCGTTCTACGCCCAATGTCTATAGCAACAAAATTCTCAACCATGGGCTTATTACTTAATTGCCCCCTGACTGTCTAGTCCCGTTCTACGCCCAATGTCTATAGAATCAAAATTTTCAACCATGGGCTTATTACTCTTTGCCCCCTGACTGTCTAGTCCCGTTCTACGCCCAATGTCTATAGAAACAAAAATCTCAACCATGGGCGTATTACTCAATTCCTCCCTGACAGTCTAGTCCCCGTTCTACGCCCAATGTCTATAGAAGCAAAATTCTCAAACATGGGCTTTTACTCTTTGCCCCCCAACTGTCTAGTCCCGTTCTACGCCCAATGTCTATAGAAACAACATTCTCAACCATGGGCTTATTACTTAATTGCCCCCTGACTGTCTGGTCCCGTTCTACGCCCACTGTCTATAGAATCAAAATTTTCAACCATGGGCTTTTACTCTTTGCCCCCTAACTGTCTAGTCCCGTTCTACGCCCAATGTCTATAGAAACAAAAATCTCAACCATGGGCGTATTACTCAATTCCTCCCTGACAGTCTAGTCCCCGTTCTACGCCCAATGTCTATAGAAGCAAAATTCTCAAACATGGGCTTTTACTCTTTGCCCCCCAACTGTCTAGTCCCGTTCTACGCCCAATGTCTATAGCAACAACATTCTCAACCATGGGCTTATTACTTAATTGCCCCCTGACTGTCTGGTCCCGTTCTACGCCCAATGTCTAATAGAATCAACATTTTCAACCATGGGCTTTTACTCTTTGCCCCCTAACTGTCTAGTCCTGTTCTACGCCCAATGTCTATAGAAACACAATTCTCAACCATGGACTTGCTTACTTAATTGCCCCCTGACAGTCTAGTCCTGTTCTACGCCCAATGTCTATAGAAACAAACATCTCAACCATGGGCGTATTACTCAATTCCTCCCTGACAGTCTAGTCCCCGTTCTACGCCCAATGTCTATAGAAGCAAAATTCTCAAACATGGGCTTATTACTTAATTGCTCCCTGACTGTCTAGTCCCGTTATACGCCCAATTTCTATTGAAACGAAATTCTCAACCATGGGCTTATTACTTCATTGCCCGCTCACTGTCTCGTCCCATTACACGCCCAATGTCTATAGAAACCCAATTCTAAACTGACAGTGGAACTTCATAGCCTCCTGTTCGTCGGGATTTCCTGGAAGGGTCCCTTGATTGATCTCCGATCTCCCTTTTTAAATGCACTTCAGGTTGCTCGTTGGACACCAATTGAAACCTATGGGTACTTCAACCATTTAGAGTTTCAACCACTTTGAGTTTCACTTGCACCGAACATGGTCCTTTTTTGGAGTTGGTACCCCTTTCTCGCGTGGTTTTAACAGAACGCCAAAAGGACAAGGGGGGGATTGTAAGGAACACACACACACACACCTTTTTCGGACCTTAAAGAGCTTGTTGAGTCAGCTTGCCAAAAGGACCACCGAAATCCATTTGGAGTTCATGCCCAACATGGCTTCTTTCGTCTGGGGACTCAACTGGGAAAATCCAACCTTGGAAGTAAGTATTTTGGGAAATGCCCATTTTGGGTTCAAGCAACAATTGCAATTTTTTAGCTGGAATTTGGAGGGTCCAAGATCCCACTCGATCGCAGTTACAACTATAAGTAGCGTGCTACTTGAAGGGTTTGCTTGGTTACCTGCAGGTACATGGATCTGGGGTAACTAACTGTTCCCACTCGGAAACCCCACGAAAAAAACAAACCGACCCACAAAAAATCCGACTTCCGCCTCGAGACCGGAGCTTCCGAGCGAAGACCGAAGGACGACGACGCCGATCTCTGGGGCCCCCGGGCCAGGCGCTCCTCCCGGGCCTTCAGCGCCGCCGCCATCTCCGCCTGCCGCGTGGCCTGCCGCGAAGCCGCAGAGGCGAAGCGAGGCGCGAAGCGAGGCGTGCAGCCGCGGTGCAAGGCTGCTGGAGCTCAGCTCGAAAGCTTGGGCTTCTTTTTTGGGATTGCCCGCGTGTTCTTGCTCTTCTTTTTTTTTTTGGGGGGGGGAGGGTGCTTCAAATGGCCACCAAGAAAAAAACAACGTTTTTTTGGGGGGGTTTTTCTCTTTTTTTCTGGGGGGGGGGGGGGTAATGGAAACCGTGAATTTCCGGGGGCTTTGGCTTGGGTTGTCCTCTTCATGTCCCAACAAAACACAGCCAGGCCGGGAATCGGTTGGACTGACCCCAAACTGTTGGGGCCACCATGACGGAAGTTGGGAACTCACCAAATTGCCGGAGTTGGGGAAGTTGGGGTTGCTTGCTCAGTTCCCAACAGGGTTGTGGGAAATGATCACTTCTGTGATACAAAAAGGGCTTCCCAAAGACTAACACCCCAGGGGGAGATTCCCAAAAGTATCACAGTGGTTGAATAAACCCCGAGTGATTCCACAATGGTTCCCAATGTCTCACTGGCTTGCCAGACGCAAGACTTCAAGCGCATAATCCTGGGACCCTGGGGTCCAAGCCCTTCCAACTTGGAGAGGCTAGAATAAGGGTACCAACTTCTTTCTGCAGTCTAGTAGGAATAAACCCTCCCAAAAAGGGTAGAAGGGCAGCTCGGGGACCCAGTTCCTTCCCTTTGTACGTTGGAAGGGGAACAAACAAACAATATTTTTGAGCAGTTGCGTGGATTTGGATTTCAACCACTAAACCACCATAAGCAAAAATGGATTTCGACCAGCGCTCACCCTTTTGTGCCTTGGGGCGGCCCATGGAAATCTCTGTCGCCCCCTTGGCTTCCCAAAAAAAGAAGAGCCACAGCAAAGGGTACCTTCCATCGCAAAGCACCCAGGCGCGTTTCAATTTTAAGGGGTATTTCTTTCCTGGATCCGGAGCCAGCGAGTGAGATCGGAATTCCGGCCCTTCAAGGTGTCCCCGAGCTGAATTCTTCAGTTGCCCAGTTCGGACCCAGGAATCAAAGGCTCACCGAACATCGGGCCACTCAAACTCGGCCAAAGGGAAAAGAAACAGGCGAACAGGTCAGGTCGATTTGCTGGCAGGTGAGATGAGGTTGAACCCGTTTTCTGTTTCCTGGAAAGTCTAGCTCCGGGCTCAAGCCCAACAGACCCCATGTTGAACGAGATGCGACTGAAGGAACCGCACGTTTCGTCGATGAGCAGCAGATCACTCCCCATGTCAGGCAATTAACTACACCGTGCTTTTCGTGTTTTGTGCAACTTACCTCGCGAAACACCAAAACACACAAAGCAAGGTGAAAACACTTCGCACATAGACAAACATTGGCAGCGACTGCTGGGGTTCACAAAAAACGGGCCTGCACTTCTCAAGATCAACCGCCCCACACGGAGGCTGGAGGAAGATGGAGCCACATGACCATGGGCCAAAACCGTTTTGGATCCCATTTTGGTAGGCGAATTCGCCCATTTTAGGCTTCCGAATTGAGTGGTTGGATGTTCACCGGGGGCTAACCGATTTGGAGTTTGACCCATGGCCACATTGACCACCGCAAGAAGCCGAGCAAAAAAAAGAATGCGCCGCTTCTCTTCCGCAGCCCTGGATTCAAAACGCGCGACTTTGATGAAGCGAGAAAGGTCCTAAGCTGCTCATCTAGGTCCTCCAGTAGTCCTCCAGATTTGAGAGCTTAGAATAAGTTGGTACCAACTTTTTGCTGGACGTCTATTTGAGTAGGGGAACCCTCCCAACCAAAAAAGGGTAAATTTCAGAGAAAGGGCAGCTAGCCGGGGGACCTAGTCATGACTAGGCGTGGAGAACATTAGCCCCTGCTCGCCGCCCGTTTCAACATGTGCCGAATGTCTTCGTGACCCTGGCGGGCGGCCACGTGGCTGCTCGGTTGCTTTCTGCTCCCCTGCTAAAAGTTTAACTTTTGGTGGTTTAATGAAATCCCATTAGTTGGCAACAAGTTCAAGTCCTAACATCCAAGCAAAATGCACCAAAGGCTCCGTGCTGTCGGCCAAAGCACCAAAGGCTCCGTAGCTGTCGGCCTCCACAAAGCAGCACACGATGTCGTGGCCATTTGCTCCAGCACGGTGCAAAGCAGATCCGCCGCTGTTGGCCTTGTTCGTGTCGCCGGCTTCCCCAACCGCACGATGTCCTTGTACCCACCCATGACGGCAAAGTGCATGGCCGTTGCTCTGGCATTATCGGCCTTGTCCATGTCAGCGCCAGCCTCCACCAAGCAGCACGCGATGTCTTCGTGTCCATGTTTGGCGACAACACCCATTGGTGTTTCTTCAAGAACATTGGACTTGTCCATGTCAGCATCAGACCCCACCAAGCAGCACCTTTTTGTTTGTGTCGGCGCCAGCTTCCACCAAGCAGCGCACGATACGTTCATGACCATCTGCAGCGGCCCAATGCAAAGCTGCCCACGAGTCGGCCTTGTGGTCAGAGCCAGCTGCCATCAAGCGGCGCACAACATCTGTCCTGCCAAGTCCGTCCGCAAGATGCAACGCTGTCTCCATGTGTAGCCGGAATAAGCGGCTGGGTGCAGTGTCTGGGTCAATGGGCCTCTCCAAAAGGCTCACAACCTCCGCCGTTTGACCATTGCGCGCAGCTGGCAACTCATAGCCACTGGGCTCTCCGCTCCCTGCAGCTCAACGCGCCGGAAGTTCCGGAACATCCGTCCTGCCACCTGGCGCCTAAGCGCATCCACGAAGCTGCCGCTGCGGTGCTCCAACCACGCCGCGAGCTCTGCTTTCGTCAGCACCTCCTCAGCGGTCAGATTGCGCACACGCCCCATGCGATGCCCCGCAAGATGACGAGGGAGCGCCGCGCATGGAATTAAGGCACCGGCACGGTGCACCGCACCTGTCAACCTTGACAGCAAATGAAGGTGTTAAATGTTACCGCAACATACCCGGTACCAATTTGGAGTCGAGTGCGGCTCAGTCCCCACGAAGGAAAGACAACAACTTTGATCTTCCACCTAAAAGCATATATGTCAAGCAGTCATAGACCAGTCATAGATTCCCTTTAAAGCCAACGAGGGAAAATAGAACGTATTCTGTAAGCAGATGGAAGCTTTAAGAAGAAGACTGCTTCCTTCCAAGGTCCCCACAAAACCTCCTGGGTCAACAGACCTGTCAGGTCGAGTTCCGAGTTCCGTTTTTTTCCCGACTTCAAACCGGACTTGAACTCCGAGAGCTAATTTTTCTGTGGGACCAGCTAATCCTTGGGGAGAATTGGCGCAAGTTGAAACCATCGCTTCACCCGCCTCAAAATCTGTAAGGATTGACAAAGACTGAGAAGGGGAACAACCCTTGTGGCACCTCGATCATCGAAGAAAGGTTCTATCCCAAGACGGGCAGGCAACATTCTCGCAGGGTGCCTTGTTGGTAATGGCAGGGCCTTACCCCCTACTCCAAATACCGTTTTTTTCAGGGTATTTTCGGGAAAGCCTGGTTTTCTTTGGTAAATACCTCGGTTTTTAGTCGAGGGTCGCCATGATACCCTGAAAAAAGAACGGGTATTTGGAGTAGGGGGTACATCTTTAGCTCCATATGCCCACCCCAAATACCATGCGTTGCTTTTAGAGTAATTACCCCCAACTCCAAATATCATATTTGTTTCAGGGTATCATGTCGATCCTCCACTAAAAGCGGAGGTATTTACCGTGGGAAAACCGATCGGTTTTCCCCCAACAATACCACCTGCAAAAAAGGCCGGTGTTTGGAGTAGGGGGGAATTGTATCACGTGAACCCCGGCCCTGGGCTGAAGTCTGGGGCTTCGGTTTGGGGCTTGGCGCCTCGTCCTTTTGCCCCGCGTTGGCCTCGGAGCTTGCGCCACGGAGAAGGGCTACGTTGAACCGTTTTCTTGGAAAAAGAAGAGCATATGTTCAGTTGTCATACTGTGGATGGTTGCCAAATCGATTTCGCACCACCTGAGAAACCAGGGTTGAAACCATGGTTTGTGGGTATTTGTATGGGAATCATCAGAAACCAGGGTTTCTTAGGTGCAGGATTTCGGCCATCCACAGTATGGCTGTGGCTCAAAAAATGGGTACCTACAATGGTCCCTTGGTAAATGGAAACAAGGACCAAAACCTGCGTAACCCTGACTCTTTAATTTTGAGTTGGGTAAAAAACACATATTCTGCAAGTATTTTCCCAGTAGTCATATGTAGATTCCTACTCAAAATACCCGCTTTTTTAGGGATGTGTTCGGAAAACCTGGGTCTTCCCACGGTAAATACCTCCGGTTTTAGTAGAGGGTCGACATGATACCCTGAATAAAGAGGGTATTTGGAGTAGGGGGTAGATTCCCTTTAAAACGATTTGGAGAAAAACTACATATTCTGAAGCGCAAATGAAAGCATGTTACAACTACTGTTTAAACACTCTGCGGTTAGTTTCGATAGGGGAGCCAAGGTATGGTCGCATTTGTTTGACCGTTTGCTGAACACCCCGAGTTTTGTGGTTTCCAGCGGACCCAAGAGGGCTTGCCCCTTTCGGCTAAGTTGGGAGCCCTAGCTGGGCAGATGTTTCTTGACAAAGCCAGTTCCAGTCGTAGTAAGTACCCCCTACTCCAAATACCCTCTTTTTTTCAGGGTATCATGTCGACCCTCTACTAAAAAAAAGAGGTATTTACCATGGAACACCAGGTTTTCCCAAAAATACCCTGACAAAAGCGGTATTTTGAGCAGGGGGTAAGTCTACTTCTATTGCCAAACTTCCAGACTTCCAAAACAAAGGACAAGGCTGTGTGTCTTGTAGGGGACCCTTCCCAAGACAAAGAAAGAGGATTTCCCCATGGTTTCCATTTCGAAGCATCCAAAACTGGAATCGTTCGACAACCGATTCGCTGAGGTGCCTGAACCCGCAGAGAACTACCCAAAGAACAAAGCTGGGACAATTCGAGTGCCGAATTTTGGGGCGAGCAGTAATTCCAAATGTTTAAGATGGAATCCTGGCTCTCCTCAGAAAGTTTGACGTTTAGTGGGTTGAATTTGGAAACTACCCCTAGACCAACTAAAAACATCTAAAAAGCTAAGGAACCGGACGATTTGCTGGGAACCACCCAGGATGTCGAGGGTCCAAATAGGGAGAAAAACCCGCTCCCAGCCTCGAAGATGTCTGAAACTAGGTCCAGCAGAGAGGCTAGAATAAGTTGGTACACACTTTTTCAGTCGTTTATTTAGGGGAACCCTCCCAACCAAACAGGGGTGAGTAAGGGCACCGATCGCTGGGGACCTAGAAGATGTCTCCCCGAACATTTCTCCGTCTGG